AAAGTAAATAGATGAATATGACAAAAAAGTGATTGCACAGAGCAAATCTTCTTTATGATAGATGACTTCAATACAAAGAGAGTCGAGTATCATGTCTATAGGATATTTGGAAGTATGAATATTACAACTTATGACTTATTTATATATATACACATAAGTAGCAAATATCTCTACCAAAAATAATAATAATAATAAGTAGCAAATATAATTGTTAATCGCATGAATAACTTACTAATCAATTAACTCTTAGGGTGTGTTTGGTTCGCACATAAGAATCGAAATCGGAATCGGAATGGGTATCAAATACTTGGTAATGGTAATAGGTTTTGGTGAAAATATTTAACATGTTTGGTAGTAGGGTGGAATGAGAATGGTTACTAATAGTAGTGCTTGAGAATGAATAAGGGAATGAAACCCTTATTGTATTTGGGTACGGGTTTTTCAATTGATGGGGTATTCGAAACCCATAATAGTGTTCTAAAAACCTATCAACCAAACAACAACAATCACTTTCATACCCATTCCTATGGGCAAAACCCACCAACCAAACACAGCCTTAGTATTTCAATTGTAATAAAGCATCTAACAATTAGAGTAGACTAACTACTGATGACTAAGTTTTTTTTTTGGATTGAGTCTTCGAGTTGAACTTAGATCAACGCCAACCGTCTTAATTAACTATGGGAGTTTTATTTCTTTTAGAAGAAATAACAAAATTGAAAAAAAAAAAAAATCAAAAAGGAGGGTGGTGCCAGTTGATGACCACCCTCAACGCACCTAGCGGGCGTTGTGCCGTTGTTAGTGTGCATGCTTTGTTTTTTCCTTTTATTTTTTTATGGGACCCACAAAGCTAAGTTGGAAAAATCTCACATTAGCGCAACATACTATCTCTCTTCTCTCCTACCTTCTCTTCTCTCAATACCTAAAACTCACAAAAAACCTTTTAAAAAAATCTGTTGGGAAAGCCCTTAGACCAACTTTGATTGGCAAATCAAATAATTTTAGACTGACCAAGTAGCTTGTAGCTCAATAGCATATTTGTGGCTCTCCCAAATGGGAGGTCACATATTTTAACCTCAGTGGCACATTAAGGCTCTGTTTGACAAACCTAACTGAAAAACTATAAGCTAGGAGCTGAAAGCTGAAAAGGAGCTGAAAGCTGAAAAGCTATAAGCTCGGAGCTGAAAACTGAAGAGCTGTTAAGCTAGCTGTTATGATTAAAAGTGTTTGGTAAAATTAGTTTTTTGAATAGTAGCTGATAAATGTAAAAAGACTAAAAAGGACATCTTCATAAAATTTAAATTAGTTTGTTTACCTATTAAAATTTAACATTTTGTCTTTAAAAAAATTTAACATTTTAAAATAAAACTATTAGCATAATCATGATCTAACATCTCATAATGAAGTAACAATATTGTTGCAAATCTCATAATAATAATAATAATAATAATAATAATAATAATAATAATAATAATAATAATAATAATAATATAATAATAATAATAATAATAATAATAATAATAATTATTATTATTATTATTATTATTATTATTATTATTATTATTATTATTTGTGGTGAAAGTTGCGGATAAAGGATAAGAGAAAAGAGTTATAATTGGGAAGGATAAATTATACCATTTCTTTAAAATAATAAGGATAAAGATGGAAAAAAAAGTTAGGAAGCTAGGAGTTTATTTTGAAACGCTACCTAAGGTAGCGTTTCAAAATAAGCTCTTATTTTAAGCTAGGAACTTATTTTGGGAACATTACCAAACAGAGCTTATAGCTTATTAGTAGCTTAAAATAAGCTATAAGCTCTGCCAAACAGAGCCTAATTCTTTGTACCTTAATATTTTGATGAGAAAGTATCTCACTGGGGACATCGACTCTTTGTGCTTCAATAGATTGAGAAAGTATATATGAACCGATACTACATTGTAACTCAATAATAATAATAATTTTAGACCGAACCCAATCACTTGAACCATCAATATTTATACCTATAAAAGATATAATTATTTCACATCATTTACATTTAATAATACGCGACGGAGTATATCTTAAATCTTAATAATTAGATACTTTGCATGGTACAACCATGCATGCCGTCCATTCTTTTGTATCTTTAAGGCTGGGTATATGCCAAAAACACTCCCTACCTACCAACACTTTTTCAAGGTATAAGAATAACTAAAGGCTTTAAGAATGGCCAGTTGTTACGTTTTCTTGATTTTTTTTTTCTCTAATTTTGATAAATATTTCACATATATACAAAATTAATTTTTTCAACCAGCTTAGTTGGCATAAGTGGCCGTGCACTCTTATTCCTTTAGAGAGGTTGGGAGTTCGAACCCCCTCTTGTATGACGCAAAAATCAATCTGGACAACACTTTGCCCTTTAATTGGGCTAGCCCAGTGCGAATGGAGATTAGTTTGAGTATGGTACAGGCTTAAAGATGTCCCTACCGTTAGGGACACCTTGTGGTCTAACTCAACAAAAAAAAAATGAAATAAGGGACAAAAGCGTGCGTTTTAGCCCGCCCTGCTTGGGTCACGGGCCTAGGCAGGGCGGGTCAAGCTGGCTATGGGTTTAGCCCGCTACTAAAAATAAAATAAACTTAACTCATTAGTCTAGGCGCATCAAACTTTGAGCTCAATTTTGATATTGTTTTGCTCCGAATATGAAAAAAACTTTGAACATATATAAAAGTTGTAGGACACTCTCTTAGTTTTTCATAGCCACTTGAATCATCTTGATTGGACTTCATATGAAGGAGATATGATCAAAATACTATCAACATGTTGCATGCAGGACAAATTCCTCAAAATGTGTCCAAATATTATGATTTTTTGGTATCAATGCATCTGAAATCTCTCAGAGTATTCAACATTAAAGTTGTAGAAGACTTTCTTATCTTTCCTTTGACACTTGAATCATTTCATTTGGACTTCGTATGGGGGAGGTATGACCAAAATACTCTAGCATGTCAAAAAAATGTTTGACATGCTGACCCGCCCCGCCTGCGGGCTTTAGCTTGACGGGGCAGGCAAACAACCTTCCAAGCCCGCCTCGACCTGTTGGACCATTTTGACGGCTCTAACCACAACCCCATATATATATATATATATATATATATATATATATATATATATATATATATATAATTATATATATAAAATACTCCGTAGTAATAATAATAATAATAATAATAACAATAATAATAATAATAATAATAATAATAATGATAATTTCATTCGTCCATCTAGGATGATCAACATCTCAAAAATAAACCAAGGACCTTATGGTCCACTGGTACCAAGTTGTTCTCTTATGTGAGAGGTGATGAGTTTGAGCCTTGACGGAAGTGCTTATGTAACAATCATTATACCCTGCACTGTGTGCCTCCCGAGACGACGTCGTTTTAGGAGGCGCGGTAGGAATTTTTGTGTATTATGTCAAAAGTTTATGTTATATTATGTGTATTATCTTTTAAAAAAGGGTATGTGTATTTTGTTATATAATTATGTACATTCATGTATACAATTATGTGTATTCTAGTATAACATTATGTACATTTTTGAACATGAGATTTTTTTAAAGGAAAATTAACTGCCAAACACTGGGTAGCGAAATTTCAAAAAAAAAAAAAAAAAAGTAAAATTAAAACGACATCGTTTTGCATCTGGGCGCACAATGCAACGCGCGCCGTGGTGCAGGATATAAATTGCCCTAATGTAGTAGCTTGTATATGTGGATATCCACCTTCCCTTATATAATATAATAAAAAAACATGGGAAAAATAATAAGCTCCAAATTCATGAAAAAAAATTGCAATTAGCTTTATTATTATTATTATTATTATTATTATTATTATTATTATTATTATTATTATTATTATTATTATTATTATATATTCTACTAAGCATTTGACTATCTTGATGTCATGTTTTCTTGATTTTATTTCCTAAAGTGTCGGTTACTATATTTAAAAATAATACATTGTGTTTAAAAAAATTATTTTTTAGATTTTATTTTAATAATTTCAATAATTATTTGACCATCTTGATGCCAGTATGCCATGGAGGCTGTTTTTTGTTTTTTGTTTTTTTTTTTTTTTGTAAAAAAAATTTCAAAATAATTATTTTATTTGAAATTATTAAAATGAAATTTTAAAAATTATTATTTTTAAATATAGTAACCGACATGTTGTAAAAGTGTACTTAAGCCAGTTGCATTATAACATATCGGTGTGAATGCACTTTGAAGTTTTACTTAGTGCACCTACAAATTGTAATAATTATGAAAATCTCACGTCATTTTTCTTATTTTTTCTTATTTTTGAGTTGTTGATCATCCCAAATATATAGATGTGATTATTCTTTTTTTTTTTTTTTTTTTTTTTTTTTTGTTTGTTTAAAAGGAAGTATTGTTCTAATATTATCCCAATCTTTTATATATATATATATATATATATATATATATATATATATATATATATATATATATATATATATATATAATTTAGTATGGAGGGTATTACTTTAAAAAAAATACTTATTTTATTTCTATCATATTCTCTACCTATTTCATTTATTATGAAATAACATTTTTATTCTTCCAAAATCTATTCCGTGAATCAAACATACATATTGTTAAATATTTACTATTATAATTTATAACCATGTCTATGAATAAATTGCACAAGTTAAGCAAGCATTGATTCTCATTTAAAAATAAAATCAAGTACTTAATTTTAAACATTTTAATAACTCGACTCAACTTGTTCTACTGATCGTAAGTTGTAACCTTGTCATCATACATAAAGAATATTGAGGAATATGGATAATTGGCAAATATACGCATAAACCACACAAAAATGCATCCCAAAATGACAGGACGAAAAATATAAAAATAAAAAAGAAAAAAGAGAACCATTAAATATCCAAGAATGAATTTGCATAAAAGGAAAATTAACAACTAACATTCTTTTTCTCCTATAAAAGGCGCCAAGCTTCTCCCTTCCAACTCGGTTTCGAACCACAAAACAATATTCTTTCTTAGTTCCAATTAAGCTTCTTCCCAGTCTTCTGTTTATTTTCTTGCCATCTTTACTATACAAAATCTTAAAACCGGGAAGGAAAAGAGAGAAATGGCGGAAAATGATTGGCTTAACGGGTACTTGGAGGCGATTTTGGACGTGGGAGCGGACAAAAATGGCGGGCGAGGCGGCGAGGAGAGGAGCAGGAAGATGGAGAGCTTCAAGAAAACAATATTCAGCAGCAAGTTTGATGAGAAGTTCATGTCTGAAAAGCTTTTCCAGGCCCAGAAAGAGAAACCAGTATTGCAGCTGTTTAGTCCGACCAAGTACTTTGTTGAAGAGGTTGTTAACAGCTTCGATGAGACTGACCTCCACAGGACATGGATTAAGGTTAGTAAACTTTACCTATGGCTTCTCAAGAACCTCAGTGCTTGCTTAATTACAGTTACAGAAGAATGGTAATAAAGATTAGAGTATAAGCAACAAACAGAACAAAAGATTCTTTCATTATGTTGGGCAGAGGCCGGTAAGGGCCAAGTCCAGCACCGTGTGGTTAGGGATAGTTGGGCGGAGACCAGTAAATGGTCAAATCCAGCACTCCGCCTCTTGAAATTGTGATGACAGTCTGTAAGAAAATAAAATTGCATGCATTAGTTAGTCGCGAATGTGCAACTGTATTTCCTTATATGAGACAAACTCAACAAATTTTCACATTCGTGAATATGGAGAAAAGACATATTTCACATATACCCATGGGTCTAGACAACTATGCTCATCTAACCTCTGGAAACATTCAACAATTTCAAACGATGTTTGAACTTGTCACCAGGTTGTAGCAACAAGGAATTCTCGGGAGCGCAATAACAGGCTCGAGAATATGTGCTGGAGGATTTGGCATCTCTCCCGCAAGAAGAAACAGGTCTGTCTCTCCCATCTTCAACTTTTACCTATTCATCACACTATAACTTTTATGCACAATATGAATTAAAACGGAGAAATGTTGTAGTGTTTGGTGGTCTCAAGAAACTAACATTTGAGTGGCTGTCTGATACACACAGATAGCTTCAGAGGATGCACAAAGGTTGGTGAAAAGGAGGGTTGAGCTCGAGAAAGGTCGTATCGATGCAGCAGAGGATCTTTCTGAACTCTCGGAAGGCGAGAATTGGAAGGAGAAAGGAGGGGAAATGAATCGGATAGATTCCCTTGCTTATATGCCAAGAATTAACTCAGATACACAGATATGGTGTGATGACGATAAGCCAAGACAACTCTACATTGTCCTCATCAGGTAACAAATCTCATTTTTCAAGTAAGTAAGAATCAATCAGATCAGAGATGAAGGAATTGAAGTTTCATGTGATCGATAGATTATGTTTACTGTTGTTTATGTAGTATTCACGGGTTGGTTCGTGGAGAAAACATGGAACTTGGACGGGATTCTGATACTGGTGGTCAGGTACAAATACTCTATAGCTAAACAGGAAACCAGAATTCAAACAGAATAAAGAAAGTTGCAGAAATGTAGAAAGAGAATTAGGTGTGATTTCACTAACCGAGATATATGTTTTCAGGTGAAGTATGTTGTAGAGCTAGCACGAGCACTTTCCAACATGAACGGAGTCCATCGTGTTGATCTTCTCACCCGACAAATCACTTCTCCAGAGGTAGACTTCAGCTATGGTGAACCAATCGAGATGCTATCATGCCCATCTGACGGTTTTGGAAGCTGTGGTGCCTATATAGTCCGAATCCCCTGTGGACCACGGGATAAGTAATACACTAACAAATTCGTTAACTGTTGAATAAAATCATATATATATATATGCAACCATTTTTTTTGTTTGTTACAGATACATTCCAAAAGAATCGCTGTGGCCATATATACCAGAATTCATAGACGGGGCTTTAGGCCACATTGTGAATATGGCAAGAGCTTTAGGAGAACATGTGAACGATGGGAAACCGGTGTGGCCTTATGTGATCCATGGCCATTATGCGGATGCAGCAGAGATAGCAGCACGGCTATCCGGGACCTTAAACGTGCCAATGGTTTTAACAGGCCACTCGCTAGGTAGAAACAAGTTTGAGCAACTACTTAAACAGGGGAGGCTCACCAAGGAGGATATAAACGCCACGTACAAAATACTGAGAAGGATTGAAGCTGAAGAGTTGGCACTCGATGCTGCAGAAATGGTGGTCACTAGCACACGCCAAGAGATTGAAGAGCAATGGGGTTTGTATGATGGTTTCGATGTACAATTGGAGAGGAAGCTTCGAGTTAGGAGACAACGGGGAGTTAGTTGCCTCGGACGATACATGCCTAGGATGGTGGTAACCACTATATTTTCTCTACTATTATAACTCGTCATTAGCTTCTTCTTCTTTTTAAGTACTATTGACTCTGTTACAATGCAGTATCTGTTCATAGTCGTGATTAGCTTTAATTTGCTTGCTTAAATACCAAAACTCAAAGAAACTAACCTTATGAAAATCTAGGTTATACCACCGGGGATGGACTTCAGCAGTGTTAAAGCACAAGATCTAGTCGAATGCGATGCAGACCTCAAGGCCTTAATTGGAACTGATAAAACCCAAAAGAAGCCTATCCCTCATATATGGTCTGAGGTTTGTCATTCTTTTCTTCACTGCTGAAAATTCCAAAAAACAGCAAAGATTAGTGTAAGAGAAACTAAAATGGCTATACAAGATTAGTGAATTTAAGAAAATCATTCACTAGTAGACCTCTTTCAAATACCAAATTTTGATTGATGCAGATTATGAGATTCTTCACAAACCCTCACAAGCCGATGATACTTGCATTGTCCCGTCCCGATCCTAAAAAGAATGTCACCACTTTGCTCAAGGCTTTCGGTGAATGCCAAGCCCTTCAAGAACTAGCCAATATGGTAATGCAGAATCTTTGGTAAATAATTTTATATGTGATGTCAAGCGCCATTAAACAAGAAGTGAATATGCTTTGCAGACACTCATACTAGGCAACCGAGATGACATAGAAGAGATGTCAACTAACAGCTCCGCTGTTCTCACAACAGTACTTAAGCTCATCGACAAGTACAATTTATACGGTCAGGTGGCATATCCGAAGCACCACAAGCAACATGAAGTTCCTGATATATATCGCCTGGCTGCAAAAACCAAGGTAAATCAACCATCAAGAAATCTGCAAAAATATTGTTGGCGATAACCCAATATGCAATCAAAGAATAAATGCTAAAGATCAGATTTTTATTTCATAACCGTATAAAAAGCTACCACTTCCTGCAGAAACAACTTCCCACTATAGTGGCATTTTTTCTTGAAAACGCTAACCAATAACAGCTCTATGGTGAACTTGTATCTTGAAGGGAGTTTTCATCAATCCAGCTCTTGTGGAACCATTTGGTCTCACTCTTATAGAGGTATGTACAATGTAGGAAATTTCGGCCTGTCTAAGCCTTTCTTTAAATTCATAAAACTCCGATCCATTCCTGCAGGCTGCTGCTTATGGATTACCAGTAGTTGCAACCAAAAATGGAGGGCCTGTAGATATAATCAAGGTAAATACTAAACCAAAACCAAATCCTACTTCTTTGAATTAATCAGAATTTCTATTTCTGAGAACTTGATATATAGAGAAACCAAGAAACAATGCCTTCAACCAATAGGTCTAATATGTGAAATTGTTGATCAGGCACTTAATAATGGGCTGCTTGTTGACCCACATGACCAACGAGGAATATCAGATGCTCTCCTAAAGCTTGTTGCTGATAAAAACCGGTGGCTTGAGTGCCGTAAGAATGGTTTAAAAAATATCCACCGCTTCTCCTGGCCAGAGCATTGCCGTAACTACCTCTCCCATGTCGAGCATTGCAGAAACCGCCACCCTGCAAATCGTCTTGAAGTTATCACGCTTACTGATGAACCCATGAGTGAATCGCTATGTGGTGTTGAAGACCTTTCCCTTAAGTTCTCCATGGATGCAGCAGAATTTAAACCTAATGGAGAGCTTGATTTGGCCAACAGACAGCAAGAACTTATCAAGATATTAACACCAAAGGCGACTCTCAATTCCAAATCGAACATTGGTTACTTCCCGGGAAGAAGGCAGGGGCTATATGTTGTCGCTGCAGACTGTTATAACAACATGGGAAATGCTACTGAAATATTATCTCTAATTATCAAGAATGTGAAGCAAATTACAGGTTTAAAGTGCAGCCAAATAGGTTTAGTATTAATGACGGGAATGAGTCTGCAGGAGACAAAAGAAGCAGTAAAGAATAGCCAAGTAAATTTGGAAGATTTTGATGCATTAGTTTGCAACAGTGGAAGTGAAATTTACTATCCATGGAGGGACTTGATAGTGGATGAGGACTATGAAGCCCATATTGGGTATCGGTGGCCAGGCGAGAATGTAAAATCAGCCGTGACTAGGCTGGCCAAAGTAGACGGTGAGATTGAGAGAAATGACATGAAATGCATGAACCCATGCAGCTCTAGATGCTACTCATACAGCATTAATGCAGGAACCAAGGTGAGCTTTCTAAGCAGTAATATACTTGATTTTACAATATTTTTTTTTCTGACTACTTAATGCATTATACTTAAGACTCGGAAAGTGAATGACCTTCGGCAAAGGCTACGCATGAGAGGATTCCGCTGCAATATTCTATACACAAATGCTGGATTAAGGTTGAATGTGATACCATTATGTGCATCAAGAGCCCAAGCAATCAGGTATATCCCTTTACTAACATTGGTGTCTGAATGATTCTGTCTAACATAAGGAAAGCTAATCAAAACCACTAAGTACCCAATTTTGGTTCTTCTATAGGTATCTCTCTATTAAATGGGGTATAGACCTTTCCAGAATAACAGTCTTTGTGGGAGAAAACGGGGACACAGATTATGAAGACCTGCTCGTGGGCCTCCACAAGACCGTTATTCTACAAGGTTGTGTGGAATATGGTAGTGATATGCCTCTTCAGAATGAAGATAGTTTCAAATGGCAAGATGTAGTACCCCAAGATAGCACAACCACAGCCATAGCTGAAAGTTATGAAGCCCACGATATCTCTACTGCCTTGGAGAAGTTAGGCAGCATGTGAGGTTTGTCTTTATTTTACTCTCTTTAGGGTGAAAGAGTAAAGGAAATATTGAAGGGCACTGTGGGTTGTGTCCCTAAATCAATCAAAAGTCATATAGTGGTATACAAGTTCATTGAGAACTAAATGTAGGTAATCACAAGTTAGAACTGAGATGTAATAACGGTACATAATCACATATGGCAATAATTATCAATTTTAGCATTTCCAGTATATATATTGAAGCAACATTTGAGATATGTTCAGTTGAGTGAGAAATCAAAGCTGACTTCAGACTATGGTTGTACATATATACACACACACATGCATACGTTTAAGCAACAGAGGCAAATATTTCCAGTCTAGATTAACAATGTTGTTTCAAATTTTCACAAAGAAAGAGTTACAAATGTTAAAAGACATAATGTTCATTCTAACAGCAATCAGCAGGGAATTGCATGATTCGTAAAAGAAAAAGGATTTTTTTTTATAGGAAACCCTCCATAAAGATGCAGACTCTACTTACACAGACTATGCTTTTATGATAGTACTTTCAAGTTGCAGGTTAGCACCATTTGCTGAGATATTTCTATCCACAAGCAACTCTCCAATAGTCCCATGACTCCTCCAATACGTTCATATCAAAATTTCTTTCTTCACCTCTTTCATCATCGTGCAGAACAATCCATTTCTATCTTGTACTCCTCTCCACAGCAACAATTGATAGTATGTGAAATTCCCTGAGATGTTTGGAACTCAGATTTCAGCACATCATGCACTACTATCATAGTTATGTTGACTTTAGAGGTCAAAAAGTGCTGACTTTTTGACATTGACACGTTTGCCAATAAACAGTAGAGAAATATGCTCACCTTCAATTTCACAATCTGGAATTGTAATGACTGCACATACTCAGTTAGTTCAACTTTGTCTCCTGAAAGTGCTTGATGCTCATCTTCCAAGAATTTTACATCCATTTCCCTCAGCTCTGGCTGTAAACATCAATATTCATCCATATTGTAAGCTGATTCAAGATAAGGAAATTCTTTTATTTGTTATTACATGTAAAAAAAACTTCAATGGAAATGCTTCTTCTGAAATCCCAGTAGGGAGGTTATATATTCTGGTGTGCACATTTTATGCACCAATACATTAATGTCAAATTGTTAATGCATTCTGATAATGAATTGAAATTATTCCACTGTCAGGTGGAAATAAAAATAGTATTATTCAAAAAATAACTCAAGGTGGCTGCATAATGTGAATATTGGAAAAAATTCATCCAATTTGAGTCCATGTAATGTGCCATGAGTATATCAGTAGTTAAATAAATCAAAGTGGTCTTAGAAGATTTACTAAACCGATCCCTGCCGATCATATGTTCATAATTAACCTTAAAATCATTTATCTTCTTCTTCATGAACTCAACAGATTGCATCAACTGCAACAAGCAAACAGAGAAATTCAAACTCAATAAATACTGACCATTTAGAAATCAACTATAAATATCTAAAATATCATCTCACAGAAACTCTGTTTCCTTTCTCTCAGTGGCTCTGCTAAGCTTTGACTTGTGAAAAAAATAGTCATAACACTAAAAAATAATACTCTGTAATATCTAGTAGATAATTCTTCAACTCTTAAGTACAGACTGAAATTTGTACTTGAGACTGAACTACTGTTAAAAGGAAGACTCAGGACTGTATAAGCAAACCTTGGTGTTCTCCAAATCAAGTTCAAACTTCAGTTGTTTCAACTGGCTTAGCTTAGTGTTCGCTGCTTCAAAATTCTTTGATAGGCTTTCAACTGCATTATCCTGATATACTGAAGATCAACCACACTTTATTACGGAGTATTATCTAAAGAAAAAGAATTATATTATACAGGGCCACTTATAGCAGACTCATTTCCATCAAGTGCATCTCAGTTTACGACAGTTGAATAACAGGAAACCATAGTCCTATACTCCTATTCCTAGTAGGAGTGAGCTGGGTTTCCTAATCTTGGCAAGTGTAGGCTTTAGCCAATGTTCCTAAAAATATAGGATCCCTATACAGTTCAATACACATAGAAGACAATTTATTTCCATCAATTATTATAATATATTCTCTCTTTCTTTGGTTTCTCACATCTTGGTGACTATTCACTACCTGCTAGGTCTTGCAATCCCTCAATTTCAACAACGGCAAACAGCCAACAGCCGACTTAAATAGTTATATAGCTGAAACTATGCAAATTATGGCATAGAATCTACAAGGCAAGGTGCAACACAATGGACTTAAGTATATACACCTGAAAGCTAATATTTAGCCAAGTTCTTTTAGGTCAAAGTTTATGCATGTTAGTCAAAATGTAAAGGGACATGATTAAGAAAAATGGACTTTCTATTTTTGCCTACATGTTCGACTTTCTGGATCATAATTGCTAGTAGCAAGCAAGTTCTTGTGTTTTTCCTGCCAAGCATAATGTAGTGGCAATGATATTACCTCTTCACTCTACTACTCTTTTATTAATAGAAACATCATTTTAGGTTACTTGTGTATACCATGTAGTGATTCATTTTATGTTACATATGATCATAACTATGCACAAATCTAGTATGAAGTAATATGTGGTAAGGATCGTTTCTTTACAGTCAGTCAACTGAACTACAGAATTCCCTTACTCATACCTTCAGTTTCACCAGTTTTCTTGAAAATTGTGTCCATTGCCTGCAGGATTTAATGATTAGTCATAGCATAAGAATTATCGTATGAAACATAATCTGGAGTGCCTAAAATCTATGATTCTAAAAATGACTCAAGATCAACTAGAAGAAACTCCAACTCAACTGTGAGCTCAGTTAAATATTTTGATGTTACAGAGAAAAGAAAATACAGTAGATGAAAATTTCAGAATAAAATTACCTGAGAATTCACTCCAATAAATGAGCCACATTTGTGATCATCTATCCAATGCTAGATAGAATAACATCAACTACAAATTAAAAACTGTAAAGTATGAAAAAAGAATGGTGTATACCAAAGATGTCAAACCTGCTGCTCTTTCAAGTGAGTAGTAATATCCTCAGCAACTTTGGAATAATATTTTCTGAAACAATAAATTACATATAAATCTAACATCTTTTGCCAATTGCAATCTTTGACTAATGCTCTTAAATTACCTTTTCTCCAAAAGTTTTGTTGACAAGTTGGTTCTTTCCTGTTGACTGAGCTCCAAAGTCTGGAAAACAAAGATACCAAGATCAGAAAAATAATATTTATATCATTCTCAAGAAAAGAAGGTTAGTTTAGAAAAGAAAAAAAAAACTAATCTATATCTGTTCTTTGATTGGTAAAAATGAAGAAAGAGAAGACAACCCCATCTATTTGAAAGTAAAGACTTCTTGTATAAAAGTGAAAGCACACGGTGGAGACTCTATTTGTAAAAATTTTATGTACAGGTAAATGTAAAAACATAGAGAATAGCATTTGTCTGCCAAATCTGTTTAGCCTATAGAGCAACAGAAATGCTTGCAAAGATGTATAGCTGTGGATACTGGATAGTAGTTTGTGAACAATTTTGCATTAAGTAATTTCTAATTTGAGATCTTAATTTTATAGCCAGTCCACAACAATGAGAGAAGTTAAACATATTTATTTTACTGTTGGTGTTGAGACAGGTGATTACATGTAAAACAAAGATTTCCACTTAAACCTAACCTCCAGCCTAGATATGGATGCTTTGCAATGTCAGTTAAGGTAGAACGATATTCAAATAAATCAAGGAGATAAGCTATAAAATAACCTAGGCCAACCATCAAACTCATACTCATACATAAAAGATGATAGGAAATACAAATACACATCCACAATATCTGTAGCATCTAATTCATTTACTCTGTTCAACCTCCTCTAAGGGATAACTGGATTGCATAATATGCATGAGCCCAGAAAATTGAGAAAGAGAATTTTGACTTATGGTTTCAATTATTTAAATTCTGTTCATTGCAAACAAGAACCAAAAAGCTTTTTCACAACTTCTCTGGTTGCGTTTCAAAATTAGAAATCTAATAAAAATGGGTACCTGATAGAGAGTGGATGAATTTCCTTCCAAAGAAGAAAATTTTCTTCGCTTTTCCAAGATCAGGGAACAGATTTCTCCCTTTGCCTTCACCATTTTATCGATATCCTCCTTGAGCTGAATTGTCTGCCTTTTGACTGCAATTATGTAAGAACTTCATAATTCCTCTTTTAAGCTAAAAACATGTTTTCCATTAGCTGTAAAAATAAAACACTATCCACAATTCAGTACAACTTTTAGTTTACCATTAGATCATCTAGATAGTGTCCTAGCTGTAGAGTCACTACAAAATCATCTCTATGGAAGATCGAGAACAGCACTTATTCAAGAAAGAATTCCACAATTTGCCTAACTAGGTCCTACACATTTAAATGTTCAATCACATAAGTTTTCCACACAAATGTTCATTACTTAGAATGTATCCACATCTATTTTTCACAACAAATTCAAATATTCTTTTTCAATATTTAAAAAATGAGCCCAACTCTTCCTCTTTTTTTTTTTGGGGGGGTGTTACTTTCCATCTTTGCATACTAGCAATACCAGAAAGAGCATCTTCATGATGATTTTATTGATAAACATACAAAATCCGTAGATGCTTGTACTAAATCTGCAAATCAATATACAGAGCAGAATATACACTACTTATTTTAAAAATAATTATTGCAGCCCAGCCGTTGACTGCAATGTAATCCAACATAGAGAGCTTTGAACTGACAGAAAACCTGAATTTAGGTCTGCTTCCAGCGTTTGAAGGGTAGTGAGTTGCATTTGCTCTTCCACTGAAATTTTTGTCGCTTGATCCTCCACATCTAAAGTTACACAAATACGTATCAAAAGGTTTCATCAATTCAGAAGTATACAGTGAACTCATCATATGTTCGTAACATGAACACAAACGCGCGTGTGTATATATACATAAATATAGGTATTATTATTACAACGAGTAATCGAGTAAAATTGTAAGAAAGCTAAAATTGTTAGACAGAGAGCAAGGAATGACAAACCGTTCATCTGAGAGCGCAGAGTCTTCATGCATTGCAAATACTCATCCATTTTTACCGATTTTTCTTTGATTACCTGAATTTCACAAACCTGTGAAGAAAAATCTTGCGATTGAGAGAGAGAGAGAGAGTGATCGGCTCAACTTACTCAGTAAAGTAGCGGCATGTATAGGAGGGCGGTTGCTTGAAGCTACCACTGCGTGCTTGAAAGTAGGAAATGGTACAGAGCGTTGGCTTTCAGTTTCAGATATGGAGGGAAAGGAGAAATGTATGCTAATTTAATGATGGGAAAATGACTGAAATATGAAGGAAGAAGTATGTATTTTTTAAAATGTGACCGGTCATTTTTGTGGACAAAAATATAAAAAAGACATTTGGGACATGTATTTGATGTCGGACCATAAATGCAAGTCTCACTTGCGGTTTTTTTTTTTTTTTTTTAAAGAAATTTGGTCGCCGGTGATCGGTGTCGCCGGCGGACATTTGGGATTATGCTTTTGAGACTGTGGTTTATTTAATTAACAGTATGCCCTCTACTGTGTTAAATAGCTCCAGTCCTCATCTTCTATTGCATAAATCTCCTCCGTCTTATTCTTTTCTTCGTGTCTTTGGTTGTCTATGTTATCCTTACTTGCGTCCCTATAATCGTCACAAAATGTCTTACAGGTCTTCCTCTTGTTTCTTCATTGGCTATCCTGAGTCATTTAGGGGGTATAGGTGCATGTACCTTTAGACTAATAAGATATATGTATGCAGACATGTTCGGTTTGATGAAGGAGTGTTTCCTTTCAGTAAAAATGTTTTGCAGGCACCACCAGTTCAGACGATTCAGCCATGGGCTGAATCAGTGATTGTTCCAATCCAGCCCACGGCTACGGTTCAGATTACTCAACCTGAACCAAGCCTGGCTCTTGCTATCCAGCCGGAACCGGTCCAGGACATACCTGCTGCTCCCACGAAGCTATTGCTGTCGCCAGCCCTTGAGGCCGCCCGTGTGAAACCCCGGAAATTCACTCCTTAAACCCGACCCAAATTCTTAATTAATTCCTTTTGGGCCTTACAATTCTTTTCTTAATTCCCATTGAAATTAGTTAAGGAACCTATTTTGACCAAATCCCTTACCCTTTTTAATTTTGGTCAATGGGTAGACCTTGTGCTTTATTCCTTGTACTCTAGACTTTAATTCCCTCCTAGCCTTTATGTGGAAAGAAGGGGCCATTTTGGTATTTTCACCATTTCTAACCTTAAAACCCTACCCTAGCCAAGACACTCCAAGACATTTCAGAATTTCTCCATCTCTCTGCATCCCCTTCTCTCTTGCCCTCCACTCCTCCTTCTCCTCATGAAACCCTAGGAGTTCATATTCACATTTCTTCAAGAAATCCAAGCTAAGACTTCAACTTTTTAACACTCCAAGACTAGAAGTGGTAAGATCTATCCCCCTACACCTTATCTATTCAAGATTCCTTCCTCTTTCTCTAAATCTTTCTTCTATCTTGTTGGTATTTGAGAGTTTGTAGAAGATTAAGAAGTGGGTGAGTTGTTAGGTTGATCTAGAGGAGCTTGTGGTGTTGCTTGAAGGTGTTTGCTGAGCTAAGAGGTAACCCATGTCCTACAAAATCTATATTATACTTGCTACATATTGATGATTTCTTAACATCTTTGATGCTATTGAGTGATTTTGTGCATATTCTTGTGATTATGCCATGTTAGAGCTTGTATTTAGGGTCCTTTAATGCTATTCTTTGAGCTATTCTATGTATTCAAGTCCCTTATGTTGTTCATGTGAGTATGGAATTGTTTGGACTTGAATTTGTGCATTCTTGGGATTTTTCCCGAAGTGATTTCTTCTTCACAGTCGCGTACCAGCGGGACCCTGGCGGGTGGTTTGCTACCCACCATACCGCCCACTGGTACGTTGTATTTTGGCCTCCATTTTGTTGATCCGTTGTGCACTTGTGTGTCTTCATTGATGTTTCGTAAGTCTAGAACGATGTCTAAGTATCCATGATAGGATTTGTGAGTCTTGAATCATGTATGTGATCCAACTTTGTGATTCGTTGGACTGAAACGAAGTCTATGATGTTCGTTTGAGCATTAATGATTATCCTGTTGATTTGCATGCTAGCTACGTTGTTTGTTGGTACTAGTATGTGCTTTCTTGATGAGGATTGGTAACTTGTGTTCACCAATTGTTGTGGTCCCTTGGTTGAAATCTATCGTTATTGTGGCAATACTTTGAAATGTCTCCTTCATGTTCTTTCTTGAATTCCTTCGATTGAGCCTATCATTGTGAGCTTGTATAAATGTTGTACCTTATCATGATTGTTCCTCGATTAAGATATTGTTGAGCTTATCCGTTGTTGTACACACTTCGTGTGGAATCTATGTTTTGTTGTATCTCTAGATTCCGTGTGTATTGACTCTTGTTGAGAGGTTAGATTTGATATGGTGGAACAGTGGACAGTGTGGGGACTTATGTGTTACTGATATGTGTGGCGAGCCTCTGGCTATGTTTACAATGAGTCATGTTGGTGTGGGAAGCCCTTGACAGGTCGGTGGCGTGGAAAGCCTCGATCAACCATTGTGAACTGATCCGGTAGTGAGTTTAAAGCTCCGGTTTGCCGTTTGAATATTTATGATTTGTGGGCAACTTGGGAAACGTATCCCGGTTGATAGAGATAGTAGCTAACCCGTTGGGCTTGAAATCCCAATAGGGGGTGTATACACTTAAAGTTGCAAGATCTGTTTCCATTGGGTTATGATTCGAGTCGTTGCGATGACTCTATGGCATGTGATTGTGGACTTGGAGCCCTCCACACTGATCCACTATGATTTGAGTCATTGCGATGACTCCGTGGCATGTGATTGTTGACTTGGAGCCCTCCACACTGATCCACTATGATTCGAGTCGTTGCGATGACTCCGTGGCATGTGATTGTTGACTTGGAGCCCTCCACACTGATCCACTATGATTCGAGTCATTGCGATGACTCCGCGGTGAATGACTTTGTTTGACTATGTCCTTTGTGGATTTGGAACCTTGTCGGGAATTGACGAATTGTGATTGATTGATTCTTATGTTGTGAACCATCCTTTGGTTGATGCTTGATTACCTTACCTTTTTGATTATCTTTGAATCCTTATCTTTGTCTCTTCGAATTGCTTCTATTGATTAGCCGTGTGTTAGTCGGTATGATTGAGTGTATCTTTCGATGAGTCTAATGATACTTCTATCTCTCTTGTTTTGAAAGCTAGAGTTATTTAGGAATATATGTATGTATTCCCAAGCCTCAAATGATTTTTCTCTATAAAATATATCTATATTGTACTCAACGCGTAAGAGTGGGTTACTTAGCAATTTTCGCTAACGGTTGTTATACCTTAATGTTTTCAGGTGCTAGTCAGCCCGAGAGCGCGTAATGGAGCCGGTTTAGACTAGATTTATCTTTACTCTAGTTTAGCTGTTATGGCCTGTGTGCCCTTGTTCTTTGACTTGTGGTTAGTAGTTGTTTGTTAAGCCTGTGCATCTAGATAGAAGTTCTAGATGTGGCATAACACCCATTGACTTTGTTAGCTTCCCCTGGAATTCTTTATGTTAATGGATAGTCGTTATCTTTATTTCCTAAGTTAAACTGTTATTGTTGCTTAAAATCGGGGGTGTTACAGCCCGAGGGGGCGGCCTACAGTCTGGATACACACCATGGCGACTCGGAGTCGTTCTGAGGGTCCCCTTTTAGCTCTCTCTACTCTGGTTTATCCTACTGAACCTACTTGTTATACACAGGCAGTCAAACATGATGAGTGGCGCAAGGCAATGAATGATGAGTTTAATGCACTTCTTCATAATGAGACTTGGTGTCTCGCTCCGTCACATTTAGATATGAATGTTATTGGGTGCAAATGGGTTTTTCGCACTAAACGGAAAACTGATGGCTTAATTGAACAATACAAAGCCAGGTTAGTAGCCAAAGGGTTTAATCAAGTTCCTGGACAAGATTTTTTCGACACATTCATCCCAGTACTCAAACCCACCACAGTCGGGTTACTTCTATCTTTGGCTATATCCTCTGGATGGGCTGTTAAGTAGCTTGATGTGCACAATGCTTTTTTGAATGAGAAATTGTCTGAAACTGTTTATATGTTGCAACCACCTGGATATATTGATAAGCAGTTCCCTAATCATGTTTGCCTATAAACGTTCTCTATATGAATTAAAACAAGCTCCTAGAGCTTGGTTTAATCAATTGCATGCGTTTCTGATGACATCAAGGTTTAAAGCTTCGAAAACAGATGTATCTTTATTTTACTACTCGCAAGGTTCGGGCTTCATTTATGTTCTAGTGAATGTTGATGATATTCTTGTAATGGGCAATGATCAAAATCTTGTCAGTACTTTACTGACAGCATTATCCTCTACATTCAAGATTAGGGATCTTGGTGCACCTGATTTTTTTCTTGGGATTGAAACTGTTAAATGTGGTGATGGAATTTTGCTTTCTCAACAACGATACATGACTGATATCTTAAAATGTGCTGGCATGACGGACTATAAACCCTTAACTACTCCTATATCAGCTTCGAAAACCATTGCTTTTAACGCCAATTTATATGATGATGCTACACAGTAGAGGAGTTTGGCTAGAGCTTTACAGTATCTTACGGTTACTCGTCCAGATCTATCCTTTGCAGTCAACCAATTCTGTCCACATGCATGCTCTTACGGTCTCTTATTGGAAGCAATTGAAACGTGTACTGAAGTATGTAAAGGGAACTACTATTTATGGTCCGTGAATACGAAAGTCAGTATCCAGAGAATTACATGCTTTTTCAGATTCTGATTGGCCTGGCTGTCCTGAGGATCGTAAGTCAACTAGTGGGGACGTTGTTTTTCTTGGTTCCAACCTTATATCATGGGTGTGTAAGAAGCAAAAAAATGTTGCTAGATCATCTACTGAGGCTGAATATAAAGCTTTAGCAGATGTCTGTGCTAAGGTAATTTGGATTCTCTCTCTACTGCGTGAAATTGGTGTGACTAGTGTGTCTATTCCCAGGCTATGGTGTGATAATCTTGGTGCTACATACACATGTGCCAATCATATTTTTCATGCTCGTACTAAGCATGTAGAAATTGATTATCACTTTGTTAGAGACAGGGTTGCG